GGGGGTGGGGGGGGGGGGGGGTCTGAGCAAAGACAAAGAAACAGGAAGGTGGAGTCCTTGAGCTTGGTTGTTTCTTGCAGACGTTTCGTTACCCGACTAGGTAACATCTTCAGTGCTAGAAATGCAAGAAAACAGCCAAGCTCAGAGAACACCAAAGACTCCACAGTTCAACCCTGAGCTACAGATGTTCTATTCTATTGGTGAAGCAATGGACACATGGGAATTCTCTTTTTTCTCTTTTCTTCATCCAGAAGGAGCTGAGCCTGCCACGCCGAGGGAAGATGTGAGTAAAGGGCTACCAGCCCATCTTTTCCTTCATAGGCCTCCTTTTCCCCCTCCCCTTTGAAGGCTTCATCCATTTTCCCTGTTGGTGGCTGAGCCTCTCGGATAAGCTGCATTGGGATCTTCTGCTGCAGAGGGGTCAAAAAGTCCAGATGGTGGCCACAACCACAAGAGCAAAATCATGTAAAAAAAGAGGTGGGGTTTTGGTTGCATGGCTGTGGCTGTCCTCTTGACTTTTTTGACCCCTTTTCTGTGTGGACACCCCTGTTATCCTGCTACTACAGGTGGTCCTCGCTTAGTGATCATTGATTCAGGGACCATTCAAAGTTACGACGGCACTGAACGAGTGGTACTTACAACCGGTCCTTGACATTCCAGCCATCACAGTGTTCCCATAGTCACAAGATCACGATCCAGGTGCAAGGTGACCAGCTCACAATTACAACATTGCAGCATCCCACGGTCACGTGATCTCCATTTGCAACCTTCACTGCTGGCTTCTGACAAGCAGTCAATGGAGAAGCGGGCAGGAGGTCACAAATGGCGACCACGTGATGTTGCACTTAATGATAGTGCAGGATTTGCCTAACAACGGCAACTGGAAGTGCTGGAAGCGCTGTCACTAAGTGGCGTGGTCACACGACATCACGCTTTATGACCATGTCGCTTAGTGACAGAAATTCCGGTCCCAATTACCATTGTTAACCGAGGACTACCTGTATTTGTTTCTCTGCCAATTGCATTATAAAGACAGAGGAGAAGTCCTGCCTGATTGGCCCAGGGCAAAAATTCAGTGTTCCGTCTCTGACATTGGCTGGTCAAATGCTTTTGAGTAGCCCATAAAGGGGCCATGAAGGCAACCAGTCTCACCTCTGGCTCATCCCGGGATCTGATACTAGACACGGATGGCCTCTAAAAACAGCAGGTTTTTTTGCTTTCATAGCCCCCCCATCACTAATAGATGTTGCCCTTTCCTTTAATGAATAGTTTGCACCACGTTTTGTGGCTGCAGATAATACCGATTCATTGTTTTCTGAAGCAGTTGTGCCTGTTGTCCATCCAATTTACTTTTAGCGGTCCTCTAGATCTAAGTGGGGAGGAAAATTGGTCAAGCCCATAGACAGATGAAGGCAACAGTGGGTCGGTTTCACAAACCATTTAATACGATCCTGGTTTTCCCTCTACTTTTTGTTAGAACATTTTGCATTTTGTAAATAACATACTAAAAATGGTCTTTGTTTAAAAGTATTTCCTACTCTGAAGGTTATTGGACTGAATACCAGTCATGCTGAGCATTGCATTCTTATTAAATCACAATCTTGACTTTTTTCCCCCTGTTCTTTTATTATGCAGAACTGCTGTTTTCTTTGTAAACTGGCTTTTGACACACATCTGTGGGGTGGGAGGCATGGATGATAGTACGGTCTCATAAAATACAGACCAATCAACCGTCTCAGTCTTAGGTGTGGAAACTGCTGGGTGTGTTTTCCCGGACATCTTGTGGTAGATGCATACCCGGGAGAAGAGTTCCTCTGTGCATGTTCAGAGTGCTTTCTTCAACATTAATTCCCAGTCTGTTAGGCACATCCAAAACGTGGCGAAAAGATCATAGCATAATGAAGTATTTCTGTGGATATCTCTTCATTTCCTTTCGTAGTGACTTCAATAAACCAACCAACATATGACCTGTCTGGAAATCATCCTCAGGATCAGAAAATGTGTGTGTGAAATGGAACGGGCTTCTGTACACGCGCAGGAAGTGCTTTTTAAAAATTATATTTATTGGCATTTCTAAATGGCATTACATGCTGGTCTATGACCATAATAAAGATCCGATCTGATTTGATTAAATGGTATTAAGCCCCACTGCTGGTTATTATCATCATTTATTTGAGGTATACCCTACCTTTCTACCTAAAAAGTGTTCAAGGCAGTTAAGATTTGCCCTCTACAGGACCTTCACTCTGTTCCTGGGCACTGAACCCTGGAAAAGCACGAGAGCCTTACTGGTTCAGAAGGAGATACAGGCTCGCTTCTGTCCTAGCATTCTTCCAGAAGCGGTCAGAATTCTGGTCAGCTAGAAATCAGCACCAGCGTGGAAGTTTGATGCCAGAAGAAATATGCCTGCGCAGGGATTGTGTGCCGGTAACCTTTCCCCCGTGAATCTGTTCAACTAACCCCTTTTGAAGCCGGGGCCGTGGCAGGGAGCTGCTCCGACAGCGACCCCAGCGGCAGACTCACCTCTCGCGGACAACTGCGCGCGCGCGCGCGCCGGGCTCCTCCGCCGTTCCCCTTCCCCTCGGGGGGCCGCGGGGGAGGAGTGGCAGGTGGGCGGGCGGCGGGGGAAGCCGGCAAGCAGCCTCGCCTCCTTTCTTGCGGCTGGTTCCCTTTCACTTGCTTTCGGACCGGGGTGCCGGGGGGGGAGGCGAGAGGGGCGGCCGCCGGCGGGGGGGGTGCA